GAGGGACTGTCTGCCCCGCATGCTTGTCGTCTGCACCCGTGTCCCCCGCGTCAGGGGCATGTGGCCCTCACGGGCTCAGCACTCTGCTCTCAGCCTCTGCAAGCATATCCTGGCTGAGCAGGCCCCGGTGCCACTTTCACCAGCCAGACATCCTGTGTTCACCTGGCCCTGCCAAGTCCGCAGGGGAGGCAGGGCTGTTGGCTGAGCTTCTCTGTAATCTGGGGGCACGTGAGATGTAGGTGGGTAGGACCAGCAAACACATAAGCAGGACCCACACTCTGGCCCATGCCTCCATGCCCCCGCTCTGTGCCCACACTCAGCCCAGACCCTCTGGGCTCCTCCCCACCTTCCTGGAGCTCAGACACCTGAGTGGGGAGGCGGCTGAAGGCGGTGGGCAAGAGGCACACTGCTGTCCCCTACCTTCCCCAGACTTGGCTGTGTTCTCAGTTCCAAATGAGTCAAGAGTGTGGGATCAGACAGGCCTGGCCCCAGCCTCAGTTTCCCCATCTGAAAAACAGGACTCTGCTAGGGACTGTGAGGAGTCTGGACAGAGGTGGAGGGTGCACATGGTTCCACAGGCGCTCAGTGAGCATCAGGGTGCATCCTCACACCTTCCCCTGCCCTCGCCCCTTCCTGCCCGTGCACCTCGCCTGGGTGGTCTCAGGGCAGCACAGGTTACTGACCTGTGGCCACTGAGCCATGAGACCAGCTCAGGGTCCTCTGGCTCAGGAGGCACAGTCAGTGTGGGGAGGGGGACTGCCCAAGCAGGTGGCCTGGAGGGTGATGGGACCGGGGAGGGGTGTGGAGTGGGGGACATGCTGCCTGTCAGGCCTCAGGCCATTGCCTGTCCCCAGGGCATGCCAGGCAAGGACGGCAGGGATGGCGTGCCAGGACAGGACGGTGAGAAGGTGGGTACTTGGCCAGTGGCCTGGAAGGGTGGAGGTGTCTGCGGGGAGTTCAGCCTCCTGGACCTCAGCACCCCATCACCCCTGGATCTCCCACAGGGAGAGGCTGGGCGCAATGGTGCCCCAGGAGAGAAAGGTCCCAGCGGGCTGCCGGTGAGTGTGTGGGGCTCCCAGGGGGCCGGGGCTGCAGTGGATGCTCCCACACAGGGTGTCTCCCGGGGTCCCTGGCTGGGCCTGGTGCAGGGGTTTCTGCAAAAAGAAGCTCCTCCCCCGTTGGGGTTCCCTGCTTCCGGTCATGCGCTCCCCCGTGGACTCGGCAGCTCTGACTCCTGGCCTCTGTCCTGCAGGGTCTCCCCGGACGAGCAGGGTCCAAGGGTGAGAAGGGAGAACTGGTAGGTGGCTTCTTCCTCT